GAATTAAATTATTATTTTAAAAACTATTAAAATGGATGTTTTTTTCCCAAAATTTTTTTCCCTAAATCATTTATATTCATTAATTTATCTATTTATTTGTATGCTAATTGTGCTTCTCTACTGATTAAATTAATATATAATATCTCGCAACGATGCAAGATTGAATGCATCTGAGATCGCAAGCAGAATATATTTTCCAAAGTTTCAAATTTAGATTATAATCTAATCGCCCGAGGACAATGTTCAATTAATCTTATATTTCAATAATTATTTGAATTTAACAAAAAAAAAAAAAAAAAACACTTTTATACGATGAAATGGTAAGACGCCTACCTTAAGTAATTTAAAGTCTAGTTAAAGTTTTTGAACTTTCATATCATATCTCAATAATGATTGAAAAAATATTTGATTATTAATTCTAAGCAGTGTTTTTTTATCAAGGCTGAATTTTGATTTAATTTTAGAATATAAATCTTTTTGAAAAAAAAAAAAAATGGTGTGAAATAATTGCTAATCAAATATTCAAGGAATTAATTAGGATTCCATCAATCAAATACTTGAGAAATTGATCAGAATTTAATATTTAAAATATTTACTAACATAACGGTAAAAACTAAAAGAATTATAAAAATATATATAATAAGTTAATATGTTAATAATTTTCGCAATATCTTATAAAAAAAAAAAAGAACTCATAAACTTTATAAGAGGTTTTAAAAGTTTTACATAACTGTAGCAAATATTTTCAAAAATGATTAATTAAAATTAATTGATGTAGGTGTTGGAAGTAATTAGAAGTAATTTAATTTGATTGTCAATTGAGATAAATTGATTGGACAGCTGGTATCAATGACCTTTTCCGAAAGTGAATATTTTAACAATGACTGATATGCTTATTTGTTTTCACCAATCAATTTTGATAATTGGTTCATTTAGGTTTGTCCGCCTGTCTTTCTAATCTGACGGTGTTGTTTTTGTATTACCTGGATGACGTAATATATTAGTTTATTAATCGATCATTTTGTGTGAATTAAATTGATGCATGATGATGACAATAGTAGATGAGGATGATGAGGATGATGATGATGATGATATCAATAGATGGTGATGTTGGAATGATGATAAAAATAGTAGATGGGGATGATAATGATGATATCAATAGATGATAATGTTGAATGATGATGATAATAGTAGTAGATGGGGATGATGATGATGATATCAATAGATGATAATGTTGAATGGTGATGATAATAGTAGTAGATGGGGATGATAATGATGATATCAATAGATGATAATGTTGAATGGTGATGATAATAGTAGTAGATGGGGATGATAATGATGATATCAATAGATGATAATGTTGAATGGTGATGATAATAGTAGTAGATGGGGATGATAATGATGATATCAATAGATGATAATGTTGAATGGTGATGATAATAGTAGTAGATGGGGATGATGATGATGATATCAATAGATGGTGATGTTGGAATGATGATAAAAATAGTAGATGGGGATGATAATGATGATATCAATAGATGATAATGTTGAATGGTGATGATAATAGTAGTAGATGGGGATGATGATGATATCAATAGATGATAATGTTGAATGGTGATGATAATAGTAGTAGATGGGGATGATAATGATGATATCAATAGATGATAATGTTGAATGGTGATGATAATAGTAGTAGATGGGGATGATAATGATGATATCAATAGATGATAATGTTGAATGGTGATGATAATAGTAGTAGATGGGGATGATGATGATGATATCAATAGATGGTGATGTTGGAATGATGATAAAAATAGTAGATGGGGATGATAATGATGATATCAATAGATGATAATGTTGAATGGTGATGATAATAGTAGTAGATGGGGATGATGATGATGATATCAATAGATGGTGATGTTGGAATGATGATAAAATAGTAGATGGGGATGATGATGATATCAATAGATGATAATGTTGAATGGTGATGATAATAGTAGTAGATGGGGATGATGATGATATCAATAGATGATAATGTTGAATGGTGATGATAATAGTAGTAGATGGGGATGATAATGATGATATCAATAGATGATAATGTTGAATGGTGATGATAATAGTAGTAGATGGGGATGATGATGATGATATCAATAGATGGTGATGTTGGAATGATGATAAAAATAGTAGATGGGGATGATGATGATGATATCAATAGATGGTGATGTTGGAATGATGATAAAAATAGTAGATGGGGATGATAATGATGATATCAATAGATGATAATGTTGAATGGTGATGATAATAGTAGTAGATGGGGATGATAATGATGATATCAATAGATGATAATGTTGAATGGTGATGATAATAGTAGTAGATGGGGATGATAATGATGATATCAATAGATGATAATGTTGAATGGTGATGATAATAGTAGTAGATGGGGATGATAATGATGATATCAATAGATGATAATGTTGAATGGTGATGATAATAGTAGTAGATGGGAATGATGATGATATCAATGCATGGTGATGACAATAGTAGTAGATGAGGATGATAACAATAATATCAATCAATATATAGTGATGTTGGAATGATGATGATGGTGAATGATAAAGAAATTTGATTATGGCTTATTTCTTGAAAGTTTATAAAGTGAATATATTTAAAAGCATGATATCAGAACGAAATAGTACTTGAAAATTAAAAAATTTTGATTACAGAAATTATGTACCAAGTATATTTCTTACTTCTATGAAAACTTGTATGAAAATTAATATGAATTCAATTACTAATATGAATATGTATTGTAATATGTATTGTTATAATTTAATCAATCGTTAAATATCTATATGATTTTTTCAAATTTTTTAAACTGGCGTTATCAAAAAAAAAAAAAAAGAAAAAGAAAAATCCGTAATTTAAAACTAAATCCACTTGGAAAGTTATAGATTTTTTCAGGTAACTCTTTTTTCTAATAATATAATTACAAAAAGAAAAATTTATAATTACATCGAAAGATTTTCTTTCAAATAATTATAAAATGAATTTTAAGCGTTGCATTATAAAAAAAAAAAAAAAAAAAAACAAAGCAATATCGTTTGATTTATTTAGTAATAATCATATAAAAGAATTTAAAACATTTCATGGTCGAATTATAATATCAATTGATTAATTAATTAAGATTATTTCGATATTAAATTAAGATTTTTATAGCTAATAATTTGTTTGAATGAAAGAAAAGATAGGAAATTCTTTATTGAAATGTAAACAACGTTGATTGTATGTGCTTATCGTATTAAGCTGCTAAGTAATGTCATGATGTCACCTTTTCATTTTCATTTTTCATCTTAAGCAAAGCAAAGTGATTTTTAAATTTTCATTTTAAGAAAGAAAAATTCACTTTTTTCTTTCATTAAATATAATAATATAATTTTTTAATTGTTATTATTACCATAATTATTATCATTACCTTTTATCACTATCATTTTCTTATTTTATAATATTTCCCTTTCATATAATCTTCATTAATCGTTAGTACTATTTATAAATACTTAAAAGTTAGCACAAAAAAATTGGAATTTTAATAAAATATGTATGTGAATGAATGTGTATGCATGTCAGCGTTCATGCGTGTATACGCGTACGTGTTTACGTGACACGTGTGCACGTATATGTATGCGTGCATGTGTCCGCTTTTTATTGCTTTGAGTTATTCGATTCGATGATAGCAATTTTGATACCAACTATTTTTAAATAAATATTCATTGCAAATAGTTTATACTTTTTCCTTTTACTTTCTCTTTTCTTCTTTTCCTCTCTCCCTCTCTCTCTCTGTTACATCCTTATCATGTTAGATAAAATACTATCGACTTAATTTTCATTTGTAAAATTGTAAATTTATTTTAATTCATTTTTTCTGTCATATAAAATTTACAATTTTTATTTTTTCCTTCCATAGGTTTATAATTTCAATGCATATGCAATTTTGATTATTAATTTTAATTTCAAATAAAAATTTTTCTCTCAATTCTAACATTAAAAAAATATTTGTTCATTTCGTAAATTTATTCTAATTTATAATTTTTTTTGGTTATAATTATAACAAAAATTTTAAATAAAAGGAAACGAAAGGAAATGACTGCATTTTTTTTTCTTTTCTAATTAAACTTAAAAAATGATTATTTTGATCATCGAAAAGATTTAAAAATTTATTATTATCATTTAATGGGGTGAAAAGAGACGAATAAAAACGACAGATTTCAAAGAAATATAACTTGTTGAATTTTGAAAATAAAAATAATAAAAAATAAAATAAACACATAAAATTTTGAATCATTCTTGCCCTCTTTTACTTCTCATCAAACTGGAACTCTTTTTCCAAACAATTTTTCAAAAAAAAAATTTTGAAAAAGATCCGTTCATCTATTCATGATGAATCACCTCCAATATATTGTTATACCTTTATTGAAATAACCTTTCAAAACTTTTCTATAATACAATTTTTCTTGCATAACTTTTTTTTTAGTACTTCAAAAAACAAAAAGACTTATCGATTTTAAATTGGTAGGCTTTAAATTTAGTTTATTATCTTTTAATTTATATAATTTGATTAAAAGTTAAAAATTAACACTTAATTTCTCATTTAGAAAAATAGAACTGAAAAATACAATTAATTTTAGTTGTTCGATGACTGCTTTTTTTTATTACTTAGTAAGAATCGAAATACTTATTTACTGATTTACTTATTTATTATCATATCCATGCATTTTTTAATTTATCTTTTATTACTATTCAATTGAATTTCTAGCAAACTGCTTTTTTCTCACTTTGTATTTTTTCGAATTTCAATTTTACTAGTATAATATACGTACAAATATCATTTGAATTCGCTACACAGTATGAATATTTTACAATTTTCGTTAATAAATGTTCTCTCCTAATTTAATAATAATTTATTTATGAGAAGTTTAAATTGAAATTTCTTTTTCATTTTAGAAATGTGGCCGGAGAATTGCTTGAAAGCGAAATGTGACATGGTCTATTTGCATAAATGCCCGGAAGATTCTCGATTAGTAATACCGCCACCGCCACCTGGAGAATGTTGTGCACCACCTGGAGAATGTCATTGTGATATACAGGTTAGTTATATATTTGTTTCTTTTTTTTTTTTAATAAATAAAATTAATTAAAAAATGCAAAAAAAAAAAAAAAAAAACAAATTGTTTGTATTTTTTTAAAAAAAAAAAACGAATAAATAAATTCGATATTAGTTGATAAAATAATTTAATAAGTAAAGTTGTATGGAAGTAAGAGTTTCTAACGTATGTTCTTTTTGATATTAAAATAAATTATTTGAGAAATATCGTTGAAAAAAAAAAAAAAAAAAAGGAAAAGAAAAAAGAAGGTAAAATCATTTGTTATTTAATTTTATATTATTATTTCAATAAAAAATAAAAAAAATGGATTCGTATTCATTGTTATGTATCTTAATAAATTTAGTAGGTATAAATTTAAAAACCATGGATTATAATTTTTTTTTTTTAACTTGCAAATTTTTGAAAAATTTAAATTTTATTTTATTTTTAAAAAGAATTATCAATATCAGCATTTTAGAAATGTTATCCATTGGTACCAGTATGTGAAAGTGGTCTTGAACGTGTTCTTGTAAAAAAAGGTATCAATGAACCAGGTCATTGTTGTGATATTTTTGAATGCAAGCAACCAGGTTAATTATCATATTTTATATTATTTAATAATTTAATAAAATTAAGTTAATTACTTGCTAAAATTATTAGCAAATAAAATAAATAATAAATAATAAGTTAAAAATTGTAAAATTTAACATTTAAAAAATTAAATTCATTTTTTTTTTAATTAATTTTACAGAATTGCAATGCGAGAATGTACATTGTGACCGTCATTTTTTGGATTACAACGAAGAAGAATGTCCTAATGATAGCATTCGAACTGCTAGTTATGTACCAGCTGGAACTTGTTGTCCAATTAATCCTGAGTAAAGTTATTTTCCTCTTTTTTTGTTTATTAATAACTAAATTTATAAGTTATAGGAGTAATTAGCTATGTAAGTAATTTAATGTTATATAAGTAATTTAATGAAGAATTCAATAAAATGATATAATATAGTAAGAAAAATAATGTTAAGAGGAATAAAATGTAATATATAACAAAATGAAAGTTAATTAAATTAAATTAAATAATTTTCAAAAAAAAAAAAAGGTGAAAGAAAAATTCTGATATAGCAAAAAATTTTACGAGCAAATAGTATCATCATTAATTGTTGTTTAAATTATTATTGATTAATGTTTGATATTTTCTTAATTTGACATTTGAATAAATAAATTTTATAAATAAAATAAAAATTTTAAACAAAATAGAATAAAATAGTGAGACAAAAATTTTACTAAAAAATTTTTTCAAATTATTTTAATCAAAACAAACTTTGAAATTAAAATTTTAAACCAAAGAAAAAGAGCAAAATATTGCAGATGTCGATGTCGTGCATCAATTTGCATGCCAGCATCATGTCCCGAAGGTCAAAAGGTGAAGATTTTACAAAAAGGTATCATTTGCATTAAGAAAATGAAAATAATAACAACGTAAAAAATAATGCTCCTCTTGAAATATTCATTTTAATAATAGAATGAATAATTCTGTTGTCTTTTTCACGTGAATCCGCAATAAATTTTACACGTAAAAGTAATTATTGTATTACTCGGAGATAATAAAAAAGTAAATTAGTTATTAAAAACTACAGTCATACTTAAAAGTGTACAATAATTAGTGAGTGTAATGAGCACTAATTAAATTTACTTCATTATAATTGAATTGAAATTAGAATGAGGAAAACTTTTTAGCTATCTATTTATTTTTACTTTTTATTTTTCAACAATTTTTATTATAAAATGGTATGTGTTTAAAAAAACAAAATAAAATGTTATATGCTTAAAAAAAAAAAAAAAAAACAAAATAAAATGGTATATATTTAAAAAAAAATTGATTGATATTTTATTTTGCGAAGGAAAAAAAAACAAAATAAAATTATGATACTAATTTTATTCATCTTATCATATCTGAGTCACTCATTTCATTCATCTTATCATATCTGAGTCACTCATTTCATTCATCTTATCATATCTGAGTCACTCATTTCATTCATCTTATCATATCTGAGTCACTCATTTCATTCATCTTATCATATCTGAGTCACTCATTTCATTCATCTTATCATATCTGAGTCACTCATTTCATTCATCTTATCATATCTGAGTCACTCATTTCATTCATCTTATCATATCTGAGTCACTCATTTCATTCATCTTATCATATCTGAGTCACTCATTTCATTCATCTTATCATATCTGAGTCACTCATTTCATTCATCTTATCATATCTGAGTCACTCATTTCATTTATCTTATCATATCTGAGTCACTCATTTCATTCATCTTATCATATCTGAGTCACTCATTTCATTTATCTTATCATATCTGAGTCACTCATTTCATTTATCTTATCATATCTGAGTCACTCATTTCATTTATCTTATCATATCTGAGTCACTCATTTCATTTATCTTATCATATTTGAGTTACCAATAACATCTACCTATTCACAGAATAGAATTATGATTAGTTAAAGTTTACAGGTGACGGAACACCTGGACGATGTTGTGATCAATTTACCTGTGAAAATGGCGATGACATGATAAGCATAAATGGGAAACGATGTCCATATAATGGTGAAATCTACGATGACGGTGAACGGTGGCATACAGGTAGTTGTGAGCAATGCAAATGCAAAAGTGGTATCGCATTATGCAGTAAAATGACCTGTGCAAGTCCTCCATGTCAGTTCTTCTCCCTTTTTTTAAAAAAAAAAATAAATTAAAAATAGATTTCAAAGTTAAAACTTTTAAATTTCACATTCAATCATTTGCATATTAATTATTAAATTTACAAAATGACAAATAATCAGTTCCCTTCAAACTGATAAAATTAAAATGTTTTTTTTTGAAAAAAAAAAAAGAAGACTGAAAATTAGCATTGTAAATTGAAATTTTATAAAAAAATTAAATTAAATTCTATTCTAATTTCATTCTATTTTAAGACATTTTTATTCTTTAGTCTAAAAAAAATTTAAAATATGTATGATAATTTTGTTATCTTCCTTCTTTTTTAAATAATCGGAATAATTTATACTCGAAATTATGGAAATTTCAAATTAAATTTAAATCTAGATTAAATTTAGAATTCTAAAATATTCTATACGAGTAGTTTTTCCAATGGTTTTTTAATGGAATTGTTTTTTTTTTTATAAAAATATGCACACGAGTAGTGTGTTATCATCTATACTGCAAAATGCTATAGAAAAGCAAAGTACAAGTGTCTTTATCACTGCTTATCACTTATCAGTATAACAAACGAACTGAAATACATTGCTTAATAGTAAAAAAAAAAAATTCGATAACATAATCATGAATCTGTTATGAGTAGTAAGTGAATGAATGAAATTAAATAAAAATAATTAAGTAAACAAATAAAAAAATAACATATTAATTTCTAATGAATAAGTCAGTAAATAAATATGAACCTGAACAATTATTTTAAAATTTTGTACCATTCAATTTTGAATTAAAATTCTAATTCAATTTCTTTTTGTTTAAAATTTAGAATATTTTTATTTCTTAGCTTTTTTTTTTCTTTCGTTCATTCAAAATCAAAATATATATATGATCCTTCCCTCTTTCTTTTCTCAATTAATTTTTATTGTAAATTTGAATGCTAAAAATTTTATTACCCTAATTTTACAATTATTTTAATTTAATTTAGCACATTGTACTTGGGTAGCTATACCGGAAAATGAATGTTGCCCAGTATGTCTTGGCTGTCAAACTGATGGTAAAAAGCATAAACGAAATGAAACATGGCAAAAAGATGATTGTACAACGTTTGTTATTGCATAAAAAATTTTTACTTTTAAAATTTTAATTTTAAAATATATGAAACGAAAAAAAAATGAAATTTGTTTTTTCTAGAAGAAAAAACAAATAATTTTTTTTTAAGACTTAAATTATATTTTTAGTGAAATAAAAAAAAAAAACGAAATTTAATTCAATTATTTATTAAATTTTTCAAATTTCAATTGCTTATTTTTTCTCACAAAACAAAATTATCTTTACATGTTAAGTTTTTTTTTTTTTTTTTTTTAAAATATTTAGTTTACAATTAATTTGATTTAGTTGCTCTTGTGGTCCAGATGGTGTACATTATTGTCAAAAACATATGTGTCAAGTGGAATGTGATAATCCAAGAAAAATTCCAGGCCAATGTTGTCCTATATGTGATGGTTAATTGATTAAATTTTTTTTTTTTTTTTTGTTTCTTAAATATTTTGAAAAGTTTTTTCTTCCACTTAATTATGATTTTAGTAAATTTAAGAGAAAAAATCTTTTAAACAAAAAAAAAATTCTGATTTTTGTTCATTTCTATACGTTCATCGGATTTTTTGAGAAATTTTTATCTGCTTTATTTTTTGAAATTTTAAATCGTAAAAATTTTGGCAGTGAAAAAAAAAAAGAAAAAAAAATGTTGAAAATTTTTTTTTTTAGAACCAACAATAATAGTAAATCCAGCAATTTGTCCATCATTAGAGCATTGTCCATTACGATGTGAAAATGGCCTATTGCGCGACTCAAATGGTTGTTTCCAGTGCAAATGCGCACCTGTACAAAATGTTATCAGTGGCAATTGTCGAGAACTTAGCGATGTTACCTGTGATAAGTATAATCATTTCACTTAATTACATTTGCAATTGTTTTCTTCTTTAAAACTGTTAAAATTTTTTTATTAGTTTAAAATTATTTTTAAAATTTAATAAAAAAATCCATTTTTTCTATGATAAAAAAATTTTTCTTTCATTTATATATTTAGTCCTTCGTTTAAATAAAAATATAAATATTAATTAATTATTATTCGTTTTTTAAAAAAATATGTGTAGAAAAAAGATTTCGGAAAAAAAAATCTTTTTTTTTTCCTTTTGGTCGTCATATTATGAAAATATATTAGTGTAAACTTTTTTTTTTTGTTTAAAAAAAAAAAAAAGAGAATGTTATTTTTTTTTTTGAAATTTATCAAAAAATTTGAAAATTTTACTCTTTCATACGAGTATTAATTTATTTGTTTATAATTAAAAAAAAATTTATTCAATTTTCTTTTCTCTTATCATTATTATTTGAATCAAAAATTTGCATTTAAAAAATTTATTATGCTTTAGTAATTTATGCTTACAGAATTTGTGCTCATGGCTATTTGCGCGACGCTAAAAGTTGTCCTGTATGCAAATGCGCCAAATGTCCACCGCTTCATCAATGTTACAAACATTGCTTATATGGTTTTGAAAGTAATAATAATGGTTGTCCAGTATGTAAATGTCGAGGTATACATAATAATTTATTCTATTTTATTTATTTTTTCCTTAATATAATATAAATTGAATAATTCTAAAGAAATAGCCAATCTTTAAACAGTTAATTAACTTAATTAATTAATTAATGATATTAATTCAAGGTCTTTTTTCGTCTAAAATGACAAGAATAATCACAAATGTAAACAAATAAATAATTTTAAATAATTTAACAAATTTTGCCAAACTTAATTATAAACTATTAAAAAAAAAAACAAACAAACAGTTTCTTAAATGGACGGAATTGCACAAATTATCGACAAACAATTTTAAATAATTTGTGAAATACAAAAAAAAAAAATAATTAATTTGATTTTTGATTTTAGCAATGAGTCGAATTGATGCCAAATTGTTATCATTGCAAAAAGAGCCCGATGGTTGGGATAAATGTTACTCATTTAGCACACAAACGGGTAAATTATATGAGCGTGATAGTGGTGAATGGTGGAATGATGGCTGTCGACATTGTTTCTGTGAGCAAAAACATGTTAGTTAGCTAATTAATTAATTAATCACACAATTTTTTTTTTTGAATTTTTTGATTTACAAAAAATGTTGAAATTAATTTTTATAAAAAAAAATGTTGAAAAAATAATTTTTTTAAAAAATAAAAATTTTACTCATTCAAACTTTCTTTTTTGTCAAATTAATGTTTGTTTTTGTTTGACACTAATTCATTTGCACATATTTATATTTATTTATTTGTTTATTTATACAACTTTATATGGTTTTTATTTTTTTTTTCTCTCTTCGTTCTTTTTTCTATTCTTTTGTCTTTTTTCTTTTAAGGAATTTTGTTCACTAATTTCATGTCCACAAAGAAATGAATCATGTCCTATTGAACATTGGAAAAAAAGAGAAGGTATTGCGGACTTTTTATTTATTTATGTTTTTTTTTTTTCTTTTTTTTTTTTTTTTTATACGATTTCAGGTGTAATTTTTTTCCTGAAATTAATTAGAAAATATTTTAATTGACATATATATACCAAAAAATAAAAAGTATAAAAATAAATATATCAAAGCTGAAAATGTTAGATAACGAAATCTTTTTATTATATTAGAAATAATTTAGCAAAGAATAAGCATGAAGAAAGTTGAAATAAAATGAAGTTTTTTTTTTTTTTAAATTAGTATTAAAATTTTTTGTTAATTACGTTTATATTTAAAGATGCTTGTTGTGCAAGTTGTGATTTAAAACCATTGCTGGAATTATCGAAGCATGAGCATACAGTATGTCAAAGTGCTGGACGTTTATTTGTTGACGGAGAAACGTGGCAATTAGCTCCTTGTACGTCATGCACATGTCGCGTAGGTAATGTCCTATGTCGTGTGGTCGAATGTCCACCAATTGCATGTCCCATACCTATTTTTGACGAAAGAAATCAATGTTGCCCTAAGTATGTTTTTAAAATTTCTTTTTCTTTTTTTTATTCTTTCTTTTCTAAAATAATTTACTTTTTAATAATGCTAATTAGGATAATTTGTAAATCATCAATTATCGATCATTCAATTAAAATTGATCATTAATTAGCTGATAGTTATTATTATAAACTAGACGACAATGAAAGTAAAATCTAAAAGTCTGTTAAGCTAAATAATTTATATAAAACATTAATTAATAAGAATTTTTTTAAATGCAAAATTTCTGCATTTGAAACAAAGATTTCTGTATTAATTTTTACCTGCTGTGTTTGGAAATGTGAAACTGTTCCTGTTTCAGATGTCCGGAAGAAACAAAATCGTCAGTAAGCATTCCGGAAGTGACACTATCAAATATCGTTAATGTGGTATGCACGGATAACAATTATGTTGTGCATGTTGCTGGATCAAGTTGGAGGACAGATGAATGCACCTCATGCAAGTATATACATATATCTATAAATTTCTATTTATAAAAAAAAAAAATAAATAAATAAAAATAATAAAATATATATAAGCTAAAAATTAGCTATGCTAAAAAAAAATAAATAAGCTAAAAATTAGCTACTGCATTCTAAAAAAAATAAATAAGCTAAAAATTAGTTACTAAAAAATTAAATATAATTAATAAATTTTAATTTGAATTATATCACTGAAAACTCAGATGTGTTGCAATTGACGGTGATGCAAAAATTGAATGTTTCGAGGAGAAATGTCGACAGTTAACAGATTGTCGTGGAATACCATTAACAATCAAAGGAAGATGTTGTCCTGTTTGTTCTGGTATATTAATTATAAATTATAATCTTAATTTGAAAGCCAAGAAAAAAAAGTTTTTAAGATATTTTTAACGAATTTATTAAACATTTCAAAATTTCATAATGCATGACAAATGCAATTTTTAAAAATTTCCTACTTTAACAAAAATTTTTTTAAGATTAATAAAAAGGCAAAAAGTATGATTCAAATTTTTGTTATCGTTTTAAATTAAATTTTCTTTTAAATATTAATTTTAGATGTGCTATCATCTGGTGCAGTATGCAGTTATGGTGATAATGTATATAGTGTTAATGAAGAATGGCGTGATGGTCCATGTCGTAATTGTACCTGTCAACCAGGTGGTGGAACAATATGTAAAGAGCAACAATGCGCAAAATGTAATGATTCCATACAAATACCTGGATATTGCTGTCCAATTTGTAAAGGTTCTTTTTTCTTTCGTTTTTTTTTTTTTTTTTTTTTTTTTAATTTTCAAATTTTTTCATTTTTTTATTTAATGTCATGTAAAAAATTTTTAAGAAATAAATTTTAAATTGATTAACTGCTTAAGACAACCATCATTCCTCACAGTATTATAGTATTGTTAATACTTCTCATAGTATTACAATATTTCTATTTACAATATCACAATATTACATTTTTTACAATATTATAATATTATCATTATTTCTCACAATATCGTAGTATTATCATTATTTTTCATAGTACCATAGTATATTCATCATTTTTTACAGTAATCATCATCATGTATTCATCATATATTACTCGAGATATATAATAGTAATATTTCAAAAAATATATTTGTAATATTCAATTGAATTGTTAAAAATTTAATTCTTTTTTTAAATTTTAATTCATTTTATATTTTTTTAATACATATTTTAAAAGAATCAAATAACTAAAAAATATTTTCTTTTAAATTATTACAAAAAAAAAAACAAGAAGAAGAATTATTATTATATAGATGTAGAATGGCGATCCTTTGGCGAAGGCCAATTTCAATCAGTATTATCAGATGGCAATGACTCATCATCTTCGTTATCATCAACAACTTCACAAATGAATACAATGTTATACGGAGTTTGCTTAACCGGATTTATCCTTATTGGTGTCATCGTTTTCATTCTTATTTATAAATTGATCAAACAAAATAAGAATAATGATGAAAAGGTCTGTTAATTAATTGCTAATTTTTTTTATTCAAATTAAATTTTTTAAAAAAAAAAAATCTAAATATGATAAATTATTTATTTTATATATGTGTGCTTTTTTTAATTTTCACCAAGTTATTTATGCATATTTTTTTTTTTTTGTAACAATTTTTAACCCAATATAATTAATTTTTTTTTTCAATCTTACTATTGTAGAAATTGAAGTGACTAATTAAATAATTCAATGTCATAGATATTTTTTTCATACAAAATTTATTTATCCGACTGGATATAATTATTATAACATTGATCTTAAAATCTATTATTTACTTTGGATTCTTTTTTTACTTACTTTCATTTATTGAAAAGTTTTAGTATCTTTTTAATCGATCAATTAATCTTTTTAATTTTAGCATAATTTGCAGAAATCGCCAATTCATTATAATAGCTCAACTGTTTTATTGTCAGCTACAAAAGCGATCGGATCAACTCCACAGTTGTATGAAGATATGCCAACTAGAAGGGATAGTTGTGATGATGGACAAAGTGAATTACTTATTTCATCAAAGTAAGTTATAGATTTATTTATTGTTAAAATAATTCAAATTTCATCAATTATCATTATTATTATTAAGATTAAGATTAAGAATTATTGTATAATTATGAATGATATTCAATTCAATCATTGACAAAGAAATATTTAAATATATTTTATGAAATAATTACATTTAAACATATCTTTAATTATTGGCATATTTGATTATATTTCACTCATTATAGTTTATGGATTTTTTTTTTGACGTATTTTTTTCATTAATTTTATTATTTATTTAGTTTTGATTGTCTAATCAGTTCAAAATTGTTCAATTTAAATTAATTTGCAAATTTGATAAAAACTTCATCATTTTACATTGATTATATTCACAAATTTAAAAAATATACATAATTAATAAGTATATTTGACTTCTCATCTTATTTATTTTTCAATCATTAAAATTTATAAAATTATCGAAAAATTATTGAACGTACTTTTTCTTTTCTCTTTTTTTTTTTTTTTTTTTTTTTGAAAAATTTTATAGTACTAAAAATTAATTTCTTTCAAAGAGAAAAATAAATTTTTTTAAAAAAAAAAAATTATTTTTCTTTAGCTCTGAAACAAGTTCCGCATCATCATCCAATGGCAGCTCAGGATACGGACCACATTACGATACATTACCATTAAATCCAGTGAAAAAAAGTGTTAGTCGAACAAAATCAATGGATTACGGTATTCGACGCGGTTTTGGTTCATTTAAAAATAACGCATTTGGTAAATTGGATAATAAGCATGGATCATGCAATGTATAGTGGAAAAAAAAAAAAAAATTGCACACATATAAGTTGAAGAGAAATGAAAAAAAAAAAAAAAAAATTTCATTTTAAAATGAAATAAAATTTTTTGATTTATTACTTTTTATATATTATTAGTATCATTTTCTTCACATTAATTTATTATTATTATTACTATTCATCCTTTTATTTTCTGTTTTTTTTTTTCTTTTCTATTGCGCAATACTTTTAAATTTCATTATAATTTTTCGAAATTTTTGCATAAATAATAGTATAACAATATTTATAGTAATGATAGTAACAGTAATTAGTATGCATTTTTAATTTTGTAAAATAAATAAGATTTAATATTTATGCTTATAATTATTTTAAAAAGATGATTAATAGTGACAATAATAGTAATAGTAATAATAATAATAATAATAATAATAATAATAATAATAATAATAATAATAATAATAATAATGATAATACTAGTAAGAATAATAATAGGAGTGGAGAAGAAAAGAAAAATATATTGTATGAAATTTTTCCAAACTAATTCAATTTTTTGGAGTTCTTTAAATATTTGGATAAATTATATCAGTGATTAAATAATACGAATTAATCAATAAAATGATTAATTAATTATTAAAGCTAGAAATGAAAAATATAATGAAATAGCTTGGTTATGCTCATTTATGTATAGAAATTTAGAAGAGCTAATGAAATTTTCACTTTTTACTGTTTAGTTTTTATGAAACTTATTATAGTGTAAATTTGATAATAGTCAGTAATAATTCCCATTCTTTAATAATATTTTGAGCATATAAAATGACAAGTAAAATTAATTACTTAAAAGAAAAACAATTTTTGAGATTGATTAATTATACGTATATTTTTATAATTTAAAAAATACATCTATAATAATTTATACATATGTGAAATATTGGTGGTGCTTGTGTTCATATAGCTCTTCGGCTATATATTTATTTTCAAAATTTCACATAATTTCTTTCAAACAATCACTATTCTCAGTTAACTGTATGAAATGTAAGAATACTATTCAATTTCTAATTTTTTTTTTTTTTTGATATTTCGTGAAGTTTTGAAAACCAATATTTATTAAATTTGCTTTAGTTTCCTTTTCTTCCAAATACATTAATCTTTATATGAAAATTAAAAAATGATTGTAAAACGAAAGAAAAAAGAAAAAGAAACTAACGAATTGCAAATTCAAATATGATAAGAAATTGATTTCCTTCACCTCACATTTCAACTTTTTACTTCACTCTAAATGAAAAGTACTACATTTAATTAAGTTTACTTGCAATTAGTTTCGTCACAATTTTTTTACAAAAAAATTGCATTCAAAAAAAAAAAATTCTCTTTTGTTCTCACCTCCGATCATTTATAGAGCTTTTTTTCGCTTCTTCATCTTCACATACGAACTTTTGTTTAAAAATTATTTGATTTTTTTTATTTATTTAATGAATCAATAATCATACATATTAACTGTCAGAATGTCCAAATATTATTTTATCTGCTCCCTTTCTTCTGTCCTAAGAAATTTGAAATTTTATTTCAAATTCAATAAATGCACCTTATGAGTTGAAATTTTTTAACTGCAATGTGGAAGAATTGAATTTATCTAAACTTTTACGGATGTTGTTTAAATTGATGAGCAGAATTATGAATTGGAAATATTATCATAAGTTAAATGTATAATTAAGATGTAACAAAATAAAAATGCACAAAATAATGTATAAAGTTATTGCACAATTTTTGTGGCTCTTCACTCGTTTAATCTTTTTTATGCTATTTTGATTGCTAAGATATAAAACTTAGAGATAATGCAGTAGAATTTCTTGATTTTACTTCTAAAATGTCTTAATATCGTGTTTTTTCTGAATTTTTCAAAAATTTCACTTCTTTTTTCCTGTTATCTGATTTGTTCTAGTATGGGAATAAATGCTTGAAGATTATATTACAAAATATCAATTTGTATTGTGTTTTAAAAAAATCTTCATCAAAAATTTTAACCATATTCTATTTAATTTTATTTCGAATCAAAAAAAAAAAAATGACATACTAGAAAGAAATGGAAATTTAGAACGAAATACTACTTGCAGTACATTTTTTCCTAACCAAGCATATCTTCCCATTCTTCAACACTGTACATTTGAGAAAATATCCATTTCTTTTTTTTTTTTTTTTTGATACTATTTCCAAATATTTGTAATGAATCTTGGAAATATTTCATTTTCATATTTTTCTTTGGTGCTCATATTTATACAGAATGCGTAATTAAATATGCATTAAAAAGTATATTATTTAATGTTTACCTAAAAATTCTGCCAAATATTCCTCTAACACATACACAATATTTTAGATAATATCATTGTTTAAAAGTTATCTCAGGTGTTATATGATTGAAATTAACCAGACATTGATTTTTTTTAATTGATTATTTTTTGTTTTCATTTCGTATCTGATCGCTTACCTTTCCTACTATGATATCGTCTGGATCACAGTGTAATGATTAATCACTTCAAAGTGATGAGACTTGCGAGAAACGTCACTAAAAATAAAAATTGAAGATTAATTATGATTATAAATTAGGTGGGTATATAAACTGAATGGTATAATGTCAAACTTAATGTATGATTATAGTGATTCATTTATTACTTTTATTACTTATTAGTTAGCTAAATATATATAATATTCATTTTTTTTACAAGCAAAACCAGGAAAAGCGCAAATTTTTAATTTCAAATCAGCTACATAAAGCCCTAATATGCTTGATAACAGAAAACTTCTCTCAAAATCATAAAATAAACCTTAAAATACTTGATATATTATCTCTCAATTCTTGACACATATCATTTTTTTTTTTTTTGAAGAACTGCAGAATCTTCAAAAAGCTGACTGAGCAGTATCAAAAAATCAACTCTAATGATATTGATAAAGAATTTTCAAATGAACTGCCTTTCGCATACAATGATAATTCACATTACCTTTCTATAAGTAAAATTATCATATATCTGCAATGATTACCTTATTCAGAAAAGTGAAACAATTCAATTTTATTAATGGGTAAAATATTTAAGAAACACAAGAATACGAAATGCAGTAAAATAAAATATTTTCTTAACATCGTTGATTTTATTAATTATCATCCGATCCACAGCTGCTATTTTTATATGATAAAGATTTCAGAAACAACAAATGTAATTTAGATTTCTTTCTAATTAATTGAACTGATATTCGAAATCTTTGCCAATAATATCAAAAACCTCGAGATATCACTAATCTAAATTATGAAAATGACCAGAAAAACAAAAACAAATTGTAATTTTCCTGAAGATTGATTATTCCGAATAGATCGTCAATCAATTTTTAAGATTAGATGAAGAGATAAACATTTGTTTGGGAGGCTAGAATAATAGTTGATTCAAACATGGCAAATACCACGAAGAATTAACGTAATATATAATTATACAAAGTTTGCAGAAAATTTCTGAAAACTGTCCGAATATAGCTGAGAGCATCAAATACAACAAAGCACAATCATAATCTCTAAATGATAAAAATACTGGAATGTTTTTAAAATTGCTATGTCATTCAACTGAAATCAAATTTTGCAAGAAGTATAAAAAATTTCTGAATGATAAGCTGATATATAGGAACACACTGAAAATACTAATCGATGAAGTTTGAGAGAAAGAAAGAAATTTGAAATTTTTTTTTGCAACATAAACTTTTCACTCATAATTTGATATAATATTACTAAATTTAATAATTCTAATAGAAATAATGCAATTTTCAACACATAATTAGCATAATATCCTGAAATTCTTGTCACCTAAAATACAACAGTTTAAGAAACAGAATAAACCATTTCATAGAAATAAACAACAAACCAGAACCATTATGAAATTCAAATAGAACCAAAAAACTGCAAAAAATATATTAGCAAAAGAAAATAACATTATTCGAATTGAAAGTTCATAGCAGTTCAACAAAAAAACAATTTGCATTTAAGGTTAGAAATTGAAAACAAATCAAATATCTTATGTAATAAGTAATATAATTCCTGAAATTAGACTTTTATAAACTGAAAAAAAAAAAAAACAATAAAATCATAATCCTACAAATTTAGTTGAAAATAATATTATAAGAAAGATGTGTGCTATCTATTTTAATTAATAAGAAATAAGAAGTTGTTATAATTTCTCAATGACTTCATCTTTCATGATTTATGCAAATTTATTGTGAAAGGTTTTCATAATTTTAATATTAATTATGTTAACATGGAAAAAAATAACTCTTCTTATGCAAAACAGTTAGCATAATTGTCACTTTTTCACAATATTTATTGTTTTTTTTTTCCTAATAATAAAACAAAATTTGAACAAAGCAATCATGTTACTACCTACGATTATTACTAAATTTTTCACTTATTTTTTTAAAAAACTTATGGAGAAAAAACTATTTTCTTTTAATTAATTTATTTTTTCTTGAGGAATTTATGGAGAAAAAAGAAAGAAATATTTCCTTTTAATTTATTTATTTTATTATTATTTTTTTTAAGAAATTTATAGAATCTATATTATCGATTGAAACGGTTGGCATAATTGCTTGATGATTCATTTTCAAAATAATTTAAACTATTAGGTAACAATTAAACAAAACTTAAACAAGGCAATCATTTTACTATAATCATTGTACTATGATTATTACTAAATTTTTAACTTATTTTTTTTTAAATGAATTTATAGAAAAAAGAGAAAAAAACTATTTTAATTAATTAATTTTTTTTTTTTTTTTTTTTTTTTTTTTGAAGAATTTATAGAAAAAAAAAAAGTATTTCATTTTAATTTAATTTTTTTTTTTTTTTTTTTTTTAAAGGGTAAAAGAAAGATTGCTTGTCTACTCTTTTTTTTTTCCAAATATTTTCAAAAAAATCAAACAAAAATTGAAACAAAACAATTAACTTTTTTATTACTATTATTATTACACTATAACTATTACTAATTTTTTAATTTAATTTTTCCTTTTTTAAAGAACTTATAAAAAAAAAAAAAAAAAAAAACAAGAAAGAATTAATTATTTCACCGTATTGTCGTTGGTTTGATTTGAAGTTGAAACCATTGATTCCACCAGAAAAATTGTTCCATTTGAAATGATTCATTCGACTGCATCATTTGATCCATTCGTAACTGAATCCATTCATTGCACTGAATCATTCGTTGTCGCATCAATCGTAACTGAATTCGCTGACTCCATTGAATCATTCGCTGTTGTAACGTACGTAATTGAATCCATTGATCCCATTGCGACATTCCTTGTTGTAACATTTGAAGTTGAATTAATTCTTTCCACCATAGCATCCGTTCTTGTAGCATTTCTAGTTGAATCTGTTGATTCCATCGCATCATTCTACATTGATTCCAACGAATCCATTTATTTATTTGTTGTTGTATAATTCTATCCTGAATCAAATAATTCCATTGTGTCATCTGTTGTTGCTCCATTTGATGACGAAAGCATTGATTCCATTGCATCATACGTTCTCGCATCATTCTATGCTGAATCCATCGTCTCAATCGTATCAGTCGTTGTCGCTCCATTCTATGTTGCAACAAGAATTGATTCCATCGTTGTCGTTGTTCCATTTTAAGTTGACAAATATTAATCGTTTGGAGGTAGAATGAACCAATTTTTTTTTTTTTTTTTTTCTGCTTCTTATTTTCTAAAAATTTGTGAATAATTAAATGGAAATAAAAGAAGTGAAAATGATGAAACGCATATTACTTTGATCAAAAATTTCTAGAATATTCCAAACCATCTAAATTGCACGTAAGCAATAATTCATTCCGCTTTGGAATGGCTCTTACAGGCACACAGTTCAACTAATCCATTAAATGATGCAACTAAAATTTGCATATATTTTATATGGGCGTTATTTAGACAATTGCATCATACGTTTAGTTGTTATTTTGCTCAAATTAACGTATTTTACAATATTGCACGTATTTGACGAATATTGCAAGTGGTTTATAACCTATCACTTTGCACGTACTTCACGAATATTACGAGTGCTTTATAACTTGTTACCTGTCTCGAACTGTTTATTTCGTTAACTTTACAGATATTTATGTTGTCATTGTCAATCGGTGACAAAATTGTTGAATTTTGGGTTTCTCACTGCTGTGAGTTATGTAGGTTTTAATGCTGGAAGAGTTGTTTAATGGATACGGGGAAGGTATATTTTGGGTATCTGCTTGGGTAGATTATTTAATGGAATGGTGGAAGGAGCTATATGCGACAGTGAGGTAGACATTTGATGAATGATGATTTGAATAAGAGTTTAATCTAGCCTAATTATTGACTTTTAATATTTGTGTTATTATTAATAGTTAAATTTGTAAATTTAAGCGCAGAAGAAATTCAGTCTTAACAAAAATTACGATTTAATGTAATTATGGTTAGAAATTATTTAATCATGAATTTTTATTTTTAGTTAAATTTGCTCTTTGAGATGGGTGATTGGATTCATTGTAATGTATGCATTCGTATGCCAACACAGGGTAACGAACAGTATCCATTTTATTTTACATCATGTGGTCATATTATTTGTGGTAAATGCTACGAAACAGGTTAGTCAGTTTTTTCTTCCTTCATATCACCTGACACATTCTGAAATAATTTTGCAGAATTATTGAATTTTATTTTAACTTTAGTAGCTTTAAAATACATCCTTATATGTTGATGTATTTGAGTGGACTTTAAAAAGTTAATTCGACAAAAAGCTTATACTTATTTCATTTTTTTTTTTCAAATTATGTGCTTCATAATTTGACATTTTCAGCTCCTGAAAGTCATTGCATGCGATGTAGCAAGCGTGCCAATGCAGTGAAAATTAATCGGAATCTTCGGAGCGATTTGCAAATGTATTTTCGAAATCCAAAAGAATTGCTGGAGCAATACGTGAAGAATTTGAATGCAGTTTTGGATTTCCAAAGCGGCCATCGTCAGCATTTACAAAAAGCTAAGCAGGAACAGGCAGGTAGTTTACATGAATCAATGGTAAATTTGCAGAAATCGGTATCCATCAAAATTACCGATAAATAGATGAATTTACTAGTGGTGCAATTGATTGTTCGATATTACAGCAGAAGAAAGCAATGAAGTACGTAATATCGGCACAGCTCGTAATGAAGCAGAAGACCGAAAGGGAAAGGTTTGTTTAATTTCATTCTTAGTAACAGAACCATAAACATACATTTTGTAGAATTCTGCAGTGGTTTTCAGGAAAGCTTTGGCTGAAAAGGAATCGTTGATAAGAGAAATTGACAAGCTTCGACATCATGCTCAAAAACTGGAACAAATGTATGTATACTAATTTTCATTACTTTTCATCTCTTTTTCAATTTCTCTCATTATTCAGGGTAAAACAAAAAGATGATGCATATATATTAATCTTTCAAGCTTCTATTCATCTGTTTGAAAAGTCCAAGTTCATTGTCCTTCAGGTTGTCTATCAGTTCTGTTTCACGTAATAGCCCTCATTCAGCTGGTCGAAGTAGTAAGTTGATTTGCTTTTCATGAAATATATGCTTTGCTATGTCTCGTCATATACTGATAATTGAAAGCCTTGAAATAATGCTCCTCTTATACTGATTCACGGGACTTGGCTTTGAGAATGATTTAAATTCATAGCAAGATCTTCGAGCAAATGATTATTGCAGAGTGAATTCATACCCTAGAATTCTCTGCTTTTCAAAGCTTCCTGAAATGATTCCAGAGTGATATTCTTTTTCTAGCAGGAGGTAGCTTAGCTTCGACAGAAAGAAGTGGTGGAGGTTCTTCGGGACGTTTTGCAACTAGTACTCCCATCAGCGATTGTTTGGAAACGGTACTGAGATTTGTTTTGATTTGTCTTGCTAAAGAAATGCTTTCATGAATCTCTTCTATATTTTTTCTTTTTTCTATGCCAAAACATTTGGTTAGTCTTTCTGCATTAAGCGAATGTATGACATCGTAACAATCTTTTACTGGAATTACATAATATTCATTTACTACATGTTCTGGCTTATTGCAATTCATGTAACTTTTAGGACGGCTTTAAATTGGCTGCAGATAATCGTTCACTTAGCCGAGTAGCTGCTGCTTTTTCTCGCAGTGGTATAGAGCCAAGTCCCATTGCATTGTCAACTGCTATCATTACAACACCTGATATGTTGGGTTTAAGAAAACGCTCAGAGAAGTAAGTTAATTTTTTGTTCAAGGCATTTGTAATTAGATGTGTAATACATCAGCAAAGCCAAAACTAATCAGTCATTCAAATAAATTGAAATGTTATTAGTAGTTGAGTCTGGAAGGAGGGAAATTAGAAAGATATGAGTGTCTTGCTAAGGTTTCTGAATGATTTTCATAAATCGTTCTTCAGACTAGAGAAAAACTGGTTGAATGGAAAGGGAACAACACCAAATCGCATATTTTCGTAGACTTTCAAGTGTCATAAATCATTTTTTCAAATACAGTGGTTCGATGCATTGATTCTCAGTTTAAAATAGACTGTGATTTTTGTATTTCGTTATTTATTCAATAATCATTTTATGATCTTTTTTTCAGTTATAACTAGCAATTGTTCACTATTGTAAATAGCTTGTAAAAAAGAATTGAATATTTATATAAAATAAATTATTCCAAATATATTTGTACCTAATTCAATTTTTGTATTTCTTTATTTATTCAGTAATTATCTTATGATTTTTTTCTCACCTATAATCATTTTCTTGATTATAATTCTAATTTTTTTAAGAATTCTAGAACATTTCATCTCTCTATACTGATGTAGATAATTTTGAATGCTAAGCATCATCATCCTTTGCTTATATTTACGAGTAATTAAATTTTAAGAAGTGCGTGATTAGCGTGTAGTACAAATATAAAAAAGTTGGAGGAAAATTAATTTTGTTTCAGTTTTTCTTACAGTGACTAGATGTTTTCGATTGGACGGCTTCAGTACAATGCATATTTTTTGTGAAAAGACGAAAAAAAAGCAAGATTACAGAATTATATTTTACAAAGTCGAGTTTTAAATCATCAAAGTTTTTACATTCACTATTTTACCTTGTATGCAGCTAACGTAATTATAATCTGGCTTTTCTATTGGAATTTACTTGCTGGTTATAACAATCTGCAATAAGTTAAATATACAGCATTTACTTGTAAGTTTTAAATGTTTCGTACATAAGATTGTATTTGGATAAACATGTATTTTGCGGTTGCTGAAGTTTAATGGCAGGAATGATCGCATTTATCACTGACCAATTTCATGATATCATTTCTAAATGATTTATGCAATTTTCTCTTTTTTTTTTTTTTTTGATTACAATGACAGCATGTATAAAGAAGTAATTTGAAAGTTGCTGCGAAATACTTGATTTCTTTTTTTCGGAACAAAATTGTGAAAAATGCGATAATTTGAAATAAAAGTTGAGAAACAGCACAGTAACAAAATAATTTCTAGTTTTGGTTTCAATTTAAAAGCCCAAAAGACATAAGCCAATAAAGAATTTGCAATTGGCAAAAAAATGAAATTATACCAAAGCGAAAAATGTGTAGAAGTTAAGAATAGACAAAAGTGCCTCACCATACAGTGAATATAGAAACGACTTGCAAAGAAAAGTGAATCAGCAAATATTTCAATTTGATGAATTTATTTTTCACTAAAAGAGAAAATTGGAGTTTGACATTACCGTAAAGAAGAAAATTGGAACTGACTAAATGTGAAATGAGAATTTTGACATTGATTTATACTGCATACTGCTTGTGAATGACGTGACATACTTTTCGAATATGATTTCAATAAATTCAAAAGTTTGATGAAATGGACAAAACACTTCCAAAATTTACTCATTTGAAAGATCTTTCGGGATCTCTCATTGAGGGCTGTGATCATCCAAAACATTACGAGCAAAATCTGCCAAATATTGACTGGTTGGCCAGAATTGACTAGTTGGAAGACTTTCTGGTATGTTCTCGATCTATCAGCATTTTATCTCGAACATATCACAGTAATAAAATACAAAGTAGTAAATAACTTAAGAATAAATCAATATCTATTGAAAAATCCATCACACGTAGAAAAACAAAAAACTTACTCAGACAGTATGAATTTCAGATATGCAAGAAACGGAAGGGGAAAGTGAAACGGAAAGGTTATAAACTATCTAAAGAGAAGGGTCAATTGTCAGAGATTCATAAACAAAAGATAATTTTGTTGTCACAAATATTCGTCATTGAGCACATTCAAATGATTTGAGCACATTCCACTTACTTTTTATAATTCCAGAAAAATTGGATATATATTTGTTAAATTTCAAAATTTTTAAGAATGGTAAGTTTAAATTTCCTTATTTTGAGATAAAGTTTGCATATTTTGAAATAAATTTATAAAAGAATTGAGAAATATTTGTATGTATATCATAGATGTAAAGTGAGATTTTATGAATTTAAAAACTAATCAATTAAGTGGTATAAAAAATAATTCATTTGATTTCAAATTTCATTGTGCTACCAGAAGGATGCCAAATCCGTCAGCTAAGGAGGATGCTTGGGCTTTTGGGCCAATTGGTTCACCATTTCCTGATAATCCGGTCCGAGCTACCGGACAGCAAAATATGTGTAAACTATTAGATGAATACTTTTTTCTCACTTAGGATGCTCTATTATTTTAGATTTTTGCATTACAAATTCTTCATTTCAGTTCTGAATGCATTTTGTACATTTAATGTTGTCTTCTAATTTGTTCATGGGTTAATGAATGAAAGATAAAATATTAAAAAATGCAATGATAAAATGAAATTATAAATTGATCGCTGCATTCTGATTCCGCGAAAACATTCGATTGCTATGCGCCTTTCTTATGCTTGCGAAGAATGCCCACATTGTGTTTCGCTTTCTAGAATAAAAATTTCTTGTGTGTCTTTTAGCGACAAACAAATGACCAGTAGTTCGTCGCAGTTTATCTTCTTGGATGAAATGATATGTTTTTCTGCATGTCTTTTGTTTGTTAATATATCATTGAAGACTACTGATATACGAGTTAAAAATTTTTTCTAAATATGCAAACTAACGAGATTTTGTTTTGCGCCTCATGTGCGCTCGCAGTCCATTTCTGCTAGTGAAGATTTTGCTACAGTACTTGCACTGAGGATGAGGTTCATGCGTTTGTTTATGACAGCTGAATGATGCTTTATGGTTGAATGTCCGTCCACAACCGGGTACTTTGCACTCATAGATGAAGGGTTCACCGTGTGTTTTCTTATGTGCTATATATTCGTTGTAAGTTTTCGTGATCAAAGCACAGCCGGAATAAAAACATTCGTAGCTTCGTCCATCTAAAAAACTCTTATCATATTTGTTTTTTCAATTGGCAGTTTGTTATAGTGTTTGACAGTTAATTGAGTAATCTGATAAAACCATAAAATATGATAAAAAAAAAGAAAAATCTGATAAAACCATTAAAAAAGAAAAGAAAAAAAAACTTCATGAAATAATCTTATTATATTCCATTTCAAATAACTGCTTAATTATTGTCGCGTATGGTTGCAACAAAAAGTATAATTGTGATTTTTTCACTCAGTGGTCATAAATGTTCTATAAGATATTTCACGTGCATTCTATTTCAGGTTGGCATGTCTGTCAAATTAGCAAACTAACGAGATTTTTTTTGGAAGTATTTCTTGTGTTTTGTCAATCCATCTTTGTTGGTAAAGAATTTGCCACAGCATTCACACTGAGGATGAGATTTATGTGTTTGCTTGTGATTGTAAAATGTTGATTTATAGTCGAATGTTCGCCCACAACCAGGCACTTTGCATTCATAAATGAAAGTTTGACCATGTGTTTTCTTATGTGTTATATATTCTTTGTAAGTTTTCGCAAGTACAGTACATCCGCGATAATGGCAAGTATAATTTTTTTTATCTGAAAAATTTTTGTCAATGCTTTTGTTTTTTCATTTTTAATTTAGTCATTTAATATAATAAAACATAAAAATATTATTCCTATAAAAAAATATCACATTGTATTTTAAGTAACTTAGGTAATAATTAGTTGTTTACTTATTTCCTCGCTTGGAGCAAAATCATATGTCGCTTCTCCAATTTCATGCTTTTGATAAAAGTAAACAACTACAAGAGATAGAACGAGAAGTTGTTAAGCAATTTGTCATAACCTGTTTCTGATCCTTCATCGGTATTCCCCCTGTAGTCGAGGATATTCAAACTATTCGAGAAGTGTTTGTTGCTGATGTTGCTCTGTTCAGCATTTCCATGTTGACCGGATATGCCGTCCGAGGAAAGAGTAACTTGGTGAAAATAGATCGGAAGGGCACTTTGTTCTGAACCAGGTAAGTGTATATATGTGATAAATGTCATCGGTGTCGTAACTTAGATCACAGAAAGCTGTTTAATTGTCTTTTCACATATTTGAAGCAAGAATCTTACCTGTAATGGAAGGATATCTCACTTCATTATTATTCGTTTTTAATTCTCCATTAACATCTTCCCGCACATTCCTATATGAATCCATATCTGTGCCAAGTGATGCTTCCAAATTAGTGTGGCCGATGAAGCCATAACTATTGGAGAAGCCAGGATAAGGAGCATTTCTTAACAGATCAGTCTCCTCAATTTCACTTAACGGAACGAAATCAATCAACTGCGAAGGATCGGACGGAAATTCTGAGTCAAACAGTGGCTCAAAATTGGTGTAATCGAGGATATTAAAGCTGTCTGAGATGCCAGAAATGCCAGAACCTTCATCACCGGTTTTGAGATTAGTTGGAGAGAAAGTTTCATTTTTACCAGAAGCGATGCAAAGCAGAAGATTGAACCAAATGATGAATGTCATAGATGCAGTGAAGAACATGGTGAAACACAATTTTGTGAAATGACAGAAATATTCAAATGGAAGCTTTTTATTTCAGATTGTTAGAATTAGAAACCAAAGGTTAAACAGTTTTAGGTTTAAACACCAAAGGTGTCCATTGTTTGTCATAATTTTTCTTTTATATTCTCGCCTTCATCGCGCTCAAATAATAGTTTATGAATGCTCTTTTAAATCCTTGAGAAAGTGTTACAATAGCGTGTACGCAAATCTGGTGCTTTGAATATTGCTCCATCATTCAGTAATACTTGTAAAATCGACTCAAAATGATTTTGAGGAATGAAATTCTGATCATTTTCGAGGCATTTAATTTGGTGCATTTAATAAAGAGGCATCTACATAAAGGAAACTGAAGAATAGCTGGATTAAATGTCATCGCATGTGCAATATTAAATAATCCTGTCTGCTTTGTTTAATAAAATATGTTATATTGCATGGTCAATAAAATATTGAATGAATTATTTGCATATTGTAAAAATTCTAGGTTCTAAATTTTAGTGATGTAAATTAAATGACAATTGAAAATATATTGACTAATTCCCGATATTTATTCTTTCAATTGATTATATCCAATTGCATGTATACTTCTTTCCATCTGTTTTTCTAAATTAATTTCCTCACCTAACAAGAGTTAATAACATTTCATGCATATGATTTGTTTTCCATTAATATTTGAATTCCTTTAATATTTGAAGATATATTTGTTTGTTTAATCAAAAATTAATTGATAATACATTGCTGCTTGAAGTAATGAATTTAGTTCCTATTTATTGCGTCATTTGTTTTTTATTACGAATAAATTTGGTGAAAGGAATTGTCAAATCTACTGCCCAATTTTATTTTGATAATAAACACTAATTTTGTTGTTTTCGCCATAGACTATGCCACCAAACAGTTAAAAGTGCAGGGATGTGAGTTGTGACAATAGTTAATTTGTTCATTACATCAGTCAAGCTAAAATAGGAAACCATAGTCAGTACCTCATTTGCTTTAATAACCTAATTAATATTTTGTGATATTCACTCTTTTTCCCTTTGATGATTTCAGTATTTTGTAAATAATGATGAAATAATGAATTGAAAATTATTTTAGTTGCAATTAGCCTTGATGCGCTTCAGTTTTTTCTCAATTTTTAAATGGAAATGAGTTTTATCCATTTACTTTAATATATGTGCTTTCACAAAATTTGACTTAAAGAATGCTCATATCAAGAGACAATAGAAAATTATTTGCTTGAACATTTGGTCATTCTTTTTTTTTGCAGAATGAACACACATATACACACACACACACATGGAGACCTTTTCATGGTGATCAAGGAGGAGTCACTATCATCTACAATCGTCTTTTCTTCTCTAGTAGTACGTATTCCTGCTCTGTATATTCGACTAATCTATAAAGTCAACTAATCTTCACGACAAAGTTTTTTGGTGCCACGAGCCGGGAACTATGTTCAGCAATGTAGTAGCAAACATCGAACCAGTCAAAGAAAGGTTAGTCGATCTTCTAAAAGAAATAAATGCTATATATTGGCATTTACTTTTCTTCAGAGTTAAATATAACTATGGAACAATAGGAAGAGTTATACAATCTACGGATAAGAATACTAAAGGATAATCTCCAAAGAATTCAAGTACGTATTACGATACTCGAATCAGACAAATGGCTCAGTTATTTCCAACAAATTACGGCAGCGAAGCGAAAAGAAGAAAAAAAAATGTCATCAAAAGAACAACAAATATGCATTTACTTCAGTAAAATATGCAATTTTTCATCTAACCATATCATATGGAAAAGGATTAGAGTAACATTTGCGTTTGAGCTTAGGGTTAGGCTTAGGATGACACTTATACTTACACACATTAGATGCTGCAACATTTTTCTCGTCTGATTCTCGTCTGACCCATAAAATGGAAGACATTTTGATGTGCATTGATAAGAGCGCTTAATTTTCCTCTCTAATTTTTGTCTGGGTAAACTGTTTTATGATCCGATCAATGCCAGTTACCTGTCTCTTCCCATATGCTACTATGTGGCATTTATCTATCTGTATAGATAAATGAATGCTTGCATTCATTTGTTTGTTTGCCACTTGTTAGAAGCCCCGAAAATAACTTTTCTTAAGAGATTTAAAATTTATCCAAGAAAAAAAGAAATGATAATGTGAGATAGCCCAATGGTGCGACATACTATTCTCTCGACCATTTACCAGCACTCTTCGTTACAGAGGATGGGTGGTCCTTGTCTTCCGACATTACACATCTCGTTGACATCTAACAAACGGTCGGTCTCATTGACGCCATGAGTAAATGTACAAGGAAGAGAGGAAGAGAGAAGAGGGACCAAGGGAAGAGGAAGTGATTTACCAGCAATTTAGCGGGTCCTCAACTCTACAAAGACTGTTCTATCATAGATAAGCTTGTCCTTTCCATCTTACAATTCATTGGCTTTTTTCTTTTAGTTCAAACATTTCCTCCTTTCTTCTCTCTCTCTCTAGTTGACCTTCCGTACTATTCGTTTCATCTGTCGATGGATGTATGAGTGAAAATATTTCTGTCCATTATTTTCAGTTGTTGTTAGTTCCTATTTTTCATTATTGTAACACAAAAGGTCATTCAGTCAAATTGATTTCTCTATACTTGTGACCTTTTATGAACATATTGGTTTAATCACTAATGAAACAGTTCAGAGAGTCGCAAGTGTTGGTTGTAGATGAGATCCGTAAGGAAGAGTTGACAGTATTATGGCTTTGTAGATACTAATCTTGACATTTTCTTCACGTGCATTTCCCGAATGTTCTGTATGCCTTTGCTAGTATGTTGCTAATCTCTTAATCGATTTCGGTTCCAAGACAGGTAAAACACACTGGCTTTGATGTAGAACTGCTTCTGTCCATTCAGAAGTATTTCCGCAAGGATTTCACCAATTTAATAAACATGAATCATAATATGTAGAAATAAGACTACATTAAATTCATAGAACTAAGGTTGGTTGAGTATTTCTTGGACAAACGTTCGTTTCAATGTTACGTAAGAAATCATTTATCTGATGTTCATTCATCTTTCTTGTAGCTGAGCTTCTTTGCATTGTTTGTTAACAAAGAATATGTATTGATTAGACTGTTTACAATCAGCAGCTCCTTATTTAGTTAGTCCCTTTTGTTGTTTATCGGTTCTTTGTTAACTGTAAATCACATTAGAATTTGAAGAGTTAACAGCTAACAGTGTTGTAAATACGTCTTAAGGTTACTATATAAGAAGTTATAACCTTTGTTAAGGTTAGCTGGAACCGCCCTCTCACTACTTACTCGAACTTTCTAATACTGCTCAATAACTGTGGTCAACGATAATCTTTTCAAATCAAACTCTATTTCACAAAATCACATAGCGATTAAGAACGGTTAATTATCCACATCAATAAGAACAAACGAAATGTGAATCATAATTCCTTCCAGAGTTATTTTTTAATCTTTACATACAAAGGTTAAAGGTGATTTGGTTTTAAAACACGACAATATCGCATGAATTGCACAGGTTTCTTGGGCTTTTAATAATAAATACAGTTATTTCTAGACTGAAATTCTTTTTACGAAAAATGTGATAAAAGAGCAATTGAAGGGACTGTGAAAACATGCGTAGAGCGAACAAACATGAAGCGATTTTGAGAGCAATAAGTGGCGGTACTGGAAGGCAGTGATTTACAAAAGATTACATAAGAGAACAATAAATGGAATGGAACAGAGAGAGGAAAATTGATTGAAATAGATTGCATTCAGTGAGATAACTAACCATCGCATTTGCGCTCTTGAAACAGCTTGTGCAGAAAGTCCTCGGTGAGAGAAGCGCTGATGTCCAGTCGCTATCCTTTCTCTCCGAGATCACTGCAACTTGCAGTACTCTGTAATTAGTTATCTATCAATGACAAATAAGGCAAGTACTTCTCAATTGCTTGCCAAAATAGGTATTAAGAACTGAAGAAACTTATTTGTAAAGCACTCTTTCAACAGCAATCTGTGACAAACTGCTTGCTCCTTACAGGTACTGCGATTCTTAATGTTAACAGTTGAGGACAGATATGATAAGCGAAGGGAAGAAAATTACTCACAGATTATTTGTCATTGATAATTTTATTTGATATATTATAATTCGGTTTTTCTGTCGCAGATTTTAATGTCGCGAAACTCTAAAATATGATATGAGAGTTGTGAATATGAATAAGGAAATATTTTCTATGAAATTCTTTGAAATAATGGATTGTTTGTTTTCAATCTTATGTTTAACTTTCAAGATTTTTGGACATAATGCAATAATTTCTATATAACATAATGTTCGCTGTGACTGAGTGAAATGAAATGCTTTTTTGCATACCTTTCGTGAATTAGAAAAACAAAATAATTCGGCCAAGAATGGATGGAATATTCCTTTCTCTGTTGATATCCTCAATGTTTGTTGATGTATATTTAACCTTGTCACCATTGTCAACATCTTTTTATACAATTGGTTCTTAGGTTGTCAGCAGCAGTGTTGAGTGCGAAAAAATATTCAGCATCTAATGAGTATGTCTAATGAATTTTCTATTGTCACTGTTTTAGAGATGTTTCATAACACATTTCACATACATTTTATTTTAGGCTGACATAAATTTTGTTAGCTTTGGGAAACTAACGAGGAGACTCCGGAAGACAATTTCTTGTGAGATTTCAGTACATCCATACGGCAAAGGAATTTGCCATAGCCCTTGCGTGAGTCTCACTCTCGCACTGAAAGTAAGGCTCAGGCATTTGTTTGTGACTTCATAATAATGATTTATAATCGAATGTCCACCCACATCTGGGCACTCTACACTCATAGATGAAGCATGAAGGGTTGACCGTGTGTTTTCCTATGTGCTATATATTGATCGTAACTTTTCGTGATCAAGTACATCCGATAAAGGCATAGTTGTAAAAAAATATTATTTATTTCGAAATTATTGTGATTATA